GAGGCAGGAGACTTGCTTGAGCCCAGGAGTTGGAGGTTGCTGTGAGTTGTAATGCCACGGCACTCTACCCAGGGGGACAGCTTGAGGGTCTGTCTTAAAAAAAAAACAACTAACGCTTTATGTTCATTTCTTTTTAAGTTAGCTTCTGGCAGAAATTGCGTGGTACAGTAACACTCACTGGTCATTGCCTGCTAATTAGAATTTCTAGTTATCCATATGCCTCTTTTCCTTTTTTATTTTTTTTGTTTTTGAGACAGAGTCTCACTATGTCGCCCTCAATAGAGTACTATAGTATCACAGCTCAAAGCAACCTCAAACTCCTGGGCTCAAGCGATTCTCTTGCTTCAGCCTCCCAAGTAGCTGGGACTACCAGCACCTACCACAACACCTGGCTATTTTTTTTGTTGCAGTTGTTATTGCTGTTTTTAGGCCGAACCTGTCAGCCTTGGTATATGTGGCTGGTGCCCTACACCAGAAATCACACATCCAAAGGTGTTAGGGCTTTAACAGTGTTAAAATAATAGCACAAATTCATAAGGAAATTTGGAGAGATCAGAATTTCAAGGTCATCCCTTGAAATACACTGAAATTGTTGTTTTTTTAGCTGGCCCCGGGCAGGTTCAAACCCTCCAGCCTTTGTGTAAATGGCTGACGCCCTACCCAACCCACTGAGCTACGGGCACCACCCATATGCCTCTTTTCCTTAAAAAAAAAAAAAAAAAAAGAAGAAGAAGAACAACAATAATTTCTAGGCGGTGCCTGTAGCTCAGTGTGTAGGGCGCCAGTCACATACACTGAGGCTGGCAGGTTCATCCTGGGCCAGCTAAAAACAATGACAACTGCAACAAAAAAAATAGCCAGGCGTTGTGGCGGGTGCCTGTGGTCCCAGCTAACTTGGGAGGCTGAGGCAAGAGAATTGCTTAACCCCAAGAGGTTGAAGCTGCTGTAAGCTGTGACACGGTAGCACTCTACGCAGGGTGACTTAGTGAGACTCTATCTCAAAAAAAAAAAAAAAAAAAAAAAAGCACGCATAGTGAGAATAAGATGGAGTCCGTCTGGCCAGGGTAGACATGACACAGCTGTTCTGGTCAGTTTAGATCCTGCCTGACCTTCACCTATCACAATTTCCCATTCTTACTGTTTTGTAAATTTAGCTCCCACCCTAAAGACGCATTTCTTGAGTAGTTTAGGTAGATTGACTTATGAGATTAGCTCTTAAATTAGAATTTTGGTTTTTTTGGTTTTTTTTTAGATGGAGCCTCAAGCTATCCCCCTGGGTAGAGTGCCATGGCATCACAGCTCACAGCAACCTCCAACTCCTGGGCTCAAGGGAGTCTCCTG